CTCTGCATAATCTAGCCATATAATGGGTCGTCTGTCCCATTAACCCTCGTGCATGTCGCCTTGCTGAAAGAGCGAGTCTAGCGAGTCTACGTTATACCGCTCGAACCATAGGAATTGTAATTCTTCCATATGTGTAGGAGCAGCAGTGGGTTCCAATGTACTGTAGGTTGCCGCCTTCATGTTCATGTTACAGCCTCGTTGCATCAGTAATAAGTTTTAGTGAACGTTTGAGCGCTTCTATTCCAATTCATACTTTTCCTTCCATATGCGGCATTCTTTAGTATATGCGAGAGTAAGGCAGGACCTTACACAGAAGTAAGGGTGGACTGATTCGACATCCTGCTAACATTCTTTTTACGTCGCTTCAAACCGATTCTGTTCCCGCACTAGTGCGTCACGTATTCGACCCTTTGTTTACACCTTATTTCTACGTTCTGCTCCTCATTGCTAGTGTATAATACGCTGATGCACTGAAGCTTCTCTACCTGGTCCAGTTTCAACTGCTTACTTCTAAAAAATACCTAGTAGCATTTCTCGAAGCAACTAATACCGATCAGTGGTAAGCCCATGATAGATGTGAACTGCCACAATGCCTCTCTTTGAAGCTGTCATGCAGGAGTCTGGCAGTCTAAACGATATATAACTAATTTTTCAGTTTTTGCGGGTTAATAAGGATTACTACTTGAGAGAATTCAATATGTGAGTCAAGCGTTTTCCGATTGAGTGAAGCCATACACCGCAGGAACTTAAATGCTTCGAAGTTGTTGCCAGCATCTATGTTCATGTTAAGTGAATGGAGGCAAAGGGAAGTTAAAAAACGCGTCGCATCATCTGGTATAATGAGTTCAATCTGTTTTACACTACTGCAACTGCAGCATTGGTGCTAAGTAGGAAAGTTTCCCAAAATTTCGTTTATGCGGTCTTCTCCCGTGGAATCAAGACTCTCTCACATCAAAGACTTAGGTAGAGTCACGGGAAGAGTAAAATGCCAGAAATGACTGTTTCATACACGTAAATTTTGCTTGCCCTACTTGGAACGGAAGTTGCTACTGTCAAAGGCGCCACCTTTCATTATTACCAGAGTTTTGTCAAGCTTGTGTCAGAAGCTGCTTCTGTTTCAGATGATGAATAGTGACAGTGACGTGGCACCAACGT